TTTTTTTCTACCAAAAAAGTGTGAAACACAAGTTAGACTTGAGTTTGTAAATGACCCGTTCCATGTTGTTTACCTTTCTGGATTTTTTGGTCTACATATTTATTTATTATAAAAGCTGTACAGTACATAAAATCAAAATTCACATGTTTTCTGTAACCAAAATGTTAATTAGGTGGGCTACGGAAAATAATTAAGTTTTAGACGATACTTATATGAAACATGTATACTTACTGCACTTGAATCCTTTTAACCATATGTAACACCTGCATATGTGGGTTTACCGCCCCTGGTAAACAAAGATAATAATACTGACCACATTGTAACCAAAAATTAAAAGTGTATTGATTCATAAGAATAAATGTATTTATTTACGTATTTATTTGCTTTATTTTTACATAAGTACAACCAAGCAGAGCAAATGTTTTTGTTTTCCTTCTTTCTTGCGCATGCGTGAGATTGAGAAACCCACTTCTCCACCTGCGCGAGCTCTGCTGTTGTCATGACAACCAGTTGCTTACTGCAAAGTTAAAACACAAATCTGACTTGTGAGACTTGAAGTTGTCGCTTCCAAAAAAACACTGTAGTTAGTCGCTAAAGTGAGTTGTCGCTGCCCTCAACCGGACTCGGGAGAACGCGGGTAAAATGCTGTCGACGACCTTCACAGGTGTGGCACCGGCTGCGGGACGAGGAGGTGCGGAGCCGGTTACGACACCGGGGTCAGTTAGACAAAGCAACGACCGCGGAGGTGCTCGGGTCGGGAGGGAGATATCAGAAGGAATCGGTGTGCAGGAGTGGCCCGACGGCTCCAAATATGAGGGAGAGTCTATAAATGGCCTCAAACACGGCAAAGGAAGGTACAGCTGGACAAATGGAGAGGTAGTGTGTGACATATTAAAGAATTAAACAATTTCACCAGAGCATTTACTACCCCTTAGCTTTTAGGGTGTGAACACCTTAAAGCCAAGCTAAATGTAATTTAGATACAAATACACGCGTGGGTTGTTTTCTTTGGTGTAGTACTATGAGGGCTCTTTCTACAAAGACTACAAGCATGGAGATGGACTGTATTGCTGGCCCACGGGCCAAAAGTTCATTGGCAAGTTCTACCTCAACAGAAGGGAGGGATATGGTCAGCAAGTGTTCTCCGATGGAGCTGTCTTTCAGGTAAGCTGAACCGTTATTTAGATTATAGATACATCATAAAACAACGCACCTCTCCCCTCCTCTCAGGGCTTGTACCACATGGATCAGAGGTTTGGTCCAGGTGTGCTCAAATATCCAGATGGGCGAGAGGAT